TGATCAGTCATCGGGACCTGTTAAGTTACAGCTTTTTTCCCCGTATATGATCATTGTTCCATTGTTGTTCAAGCTGACAGAGCAGCACAGTGGTTTGGAATGCCGTCGGAATTACTATTCTGTACGCGGTTGAAGAACGTGGAATGCTTTACCGGGATCTGTCAGATGTGCTCCCAAGCTGGCAGAATTCAAAGCCATAGTCGACCGTGCACTTAATTCGCTGCACAATCTTACCCATGGATACACAGAAGTGGCTGTAAAAGATTTCATTGGCGGTCGAATCGCAGATTTCGTTCAACATGTTTTACCTCCTGTATGTGTACACCAGAATGAAACACGGTTTTTACCAACATCCTATTTGCCGTCATTTGTTATGGATTTACCTTGGATTTACAGTCTACACTACGTTTAGTTCTGTGAGTTTACTGGTGTAAACCCAATTTTGCCAAAATGCTTTTTATATTTTGTAGTTTCACCATAACCATCCTACGGGACCTGTTAAGCATTAGCTTGCTTACCCGTTTAAAACCACTGTACAATGGTTCTATTGACCCTAATTTCTAATACGCAACACACAACAACACCCAGCGTGTCTAACGTGCGTGCGAGTGCAGCCTGTTTACCAATTTGTCTTAGAGTGCGATGTTAAACGTCGCCAGGGAAGCGGGACAGCGTGGCCTTATAAGGGACTGTTACCGATTTGCATCCATTGGGTGGTGTGGGAAGGTTGCTGTAGGTCTTTCGACGCCAGTGGCATTATGCCTGCTGTCAATTAAGCAGAGAGTCATAGAAGAAAGTTTAGTAATGGGCGTTGGGAGGGAGGAGGAGACACAATCGGAAAAGAAAGAAGACGTCAGCAGTAGCATGTTTTTGCTTATTCGTCCTGCTGCATGCAGCAGATATGGCGACCCTTGATAATCTGCGCGACGGCCGATGCAGAATGTACTTAACGTTTGAGGAAATAGCCATGGTTGTACGTAGGCTGAGATACTGCCAGGACACCCAGACCTAGACAGGAGGACGATTAGAGTCCTCAACCAAGGCTTTTGGCTAAAAAGCCTGTCCACAAGGCAGCGGGAGGTGACAAAGTTTCACATAAACGGATGCCATCCTATTTCAACCCCCAACCTGGAGGCCCAGAAACTGAGTTTGTCTGACCTCAAACCATTGAAACGATAATGTATGGGTGTGCGAATACATGGTTGAGAGCATCCGGTTTCGTATTTGCCTGTAACTGTGGCCAGCCACAGGACGCCTGCGCCTACAGAGGGATCATGGTTGGATTGCGCTGCACCACCAACAGCTCCAAACACACAACCCATGTCCAGTGTGAACCCGAAGGAATAAGACAGGAAGGTATGTGGATGGGAGCCACGTTTCATCAACGGTGCCGGCCCACACTCCTTCACAAGCAAACACAAGCACGCTGTATTTGGGAATCATGCACACACAAGGCGGTGGCTGGACCGTAGTCCGCTCCACACTCAGGGCATGGAACCACTCTTTGATCCTAACACGACCACAAGGATCGTGCACTGCGTCCCCTCCAGCAACGACCAACTGTCTCCTAGAGCCAGTGTGGACAAGATAGTGGGTAACAGACAGGTAAGCAGCTTGTCAACATGCACATCAAGCGCAGCCACACCGGGGACATCAAGCAACAGCTAATCACTTGAGAGAAAGATAGCAAAGAAAATAAATCGAGTAATGCATAAGGAAACGGTGACATAAATTTTAAATTAATAAGCATATGAAATAAGTTGTTTACAAAAGAATCCGAGATAAATTCAAGAGGTCAGAATTATATTTTACGTAAATGCCACAAACACGCAATTGTTATCGAAAGTAACTACAACTGGCTTAAGCAACGTGTGTAAATTTATAAAAGAAAGTACTGGTAGACATTTATATAAGAAAGAAAAGCATTAGGACAAACTTGCAAACCCACCACCTGAAATAGATAAACTTAGCATGCAAGCACACGGTTAGTAAATCGAATGCATCGTACCAAGAAACCCTGCGCCGGTTCTGCTTACGTTCTCTGCAGGACCCGTCGTCGCTTCGGTAGTGGTCCCTAGTGTCCTCGCTCATGGCTCACTAGGCCTGCCTGACTCAGACACTCGCGACCGCATGTGCTACAGCACCATGCACTCAATGCCGATGAAGTACAACTCCTCGGTGCTTACCGCATCCGAACTTGCCGCTTCTTCTCTGAATGCATTAGGTCTTTTCCGCAATTCAGCAACTGCCTTGGTGATTAGATCACGCCATGCACGCCGATCAACCGCTTTCGATTCCCATGACCTGCAATCAAGATTAAAACGTGATAGACGCACTTTGATCATTTTCTGGTAACGTAATTTTGGTTTCCCCGCATGCCGCTTCCCAATACTCAGCTGACCATATAAGAGTTGTCTAGGTATCCGCGTCAAATACATACGGCTCACAAGACCGAGCCACCTCAGGTCTCTCAGCAAGAGTATGTAGACCACTGCATACATCCCACTTTTTCGTAACACTTGCGTGTCAGCAACTCTGTCCCCCCCCCCCAAGTGTTGCGCAAAATTAGTCGCAAACAGTGCTGTTGGAACCGCTCGAGATATCACACATCCCGCCGGTATATCGTCCACGTTTCACTGCCGTATAGCAGAAGGGACAGCACTATGGATTTGTATACCATCAGCTTCGTGCCAATGGTAAGCTGATGGTTGTTCCACATTCCGTACTCTAGCTTCCCGAATGCCGCCGCTGCCTTCAACACGCAGATACGCAGCTCACTGTTGATCAGTCGACATTACACCCCCAAGGGAGCAGAAGCGCGAGGTGGTTTCAAATACCTCGGAACCAACGCTAATTCGCAGCAATATTGAAGATTGCACCTCCAGTGAAGGCTGAAAGAGACAGAGAGTTTTGCTTGTTGATGGTGAGCCCGAATTCGACCGCTGTCGAAGCCAGAACACTAGTCATGTGCTGCAACTCATCAGCGCTGTGTGCAAACAATGCACAGTCGTCAGCAAACAGCAACATATGGATAGTTGTCTCACAGACTAGAGTTCTCGCACCGAAACAACGGATGTTCAGCAACCCACCATCAATACCGTGCTCCACACGAACACCGTATGCAAAAGCGGCATCAGAAGCACAAGACATAATTGCATGAAGATTGCTAGTAAACAGGGCATGAGCTAAGACACTGCTTTGTTTCACACCAGAGACAACAACAAAGTCATCCGACGTCTCTCCACTTAGCTGCACCCTCGCCTGCATACCACTGCGCAGACATTCAATTAAACTTACGCGGGCAACCAAACACCAACCCAACACCAGTCACAATGCCTCGCGATTCACCGTATAAAATGCCTTGGTGAAATCAACAAAAAGCGAGTACAATGGATGGTATCGTTCCCTGCACTTCTCTTGCAACTGACGAGCAGCAAATAATATATCTATAGTGTTGCGACCAGAAGGTAATCCACACTGCTCTTCCGCCAGGTTAGGTTCCACAACCTGACTGACGAGGCGGTTGAGCAGGATTCGGGCAATCACCTTGCCCACACAACTCAGCAAGTTGATGCCACGATAATTCGTGCAACGTTGCTTGCTACCTTTGCCCTTGTACAGTGGTAGCATAAGGGCATCCTTCAGATCAGGAGGCACCTCCTCCTCAATCCATACGCGTTGCACCAAGTGGTGCAGCACAGTCACCATCCCGGGTCCGCCGTATTTCAATCCTTCAGGCGGGATCCCGTCGGCACCGGCACACTTGCCCTTTCGCAGCTGAACAAGTGTCCTCTGCGTCTCATCCAGTGTCGGCGTGTCCGCCAGACTTGTCTTCACATCGTACTGCTTGGGGCCGTTCAATGTAGGCCAGTTAATGTCTGAACGGTTGTTCAAGAAACACACGAAGGTTTCCGCCAGATCTGCATTATGTCTGCAGTCTGTGTGCAGGTAGCGCCTGGACTACCATCGATCAGCGTCCTCAGCGGCTCCAATCTTGGTCCATACACCGCCTTCAAGGAGTCAAAGAATTCCTTGTGTTGGCGGCGTTCGACGTAGCATTCCATCTGCTTCGCCTTCACCGTCCACCATGCATTTTTAATGCGACGGAACTCTCGAGTCAGTCGCGGTCGAAGTTTGCGAAACTGACTCTTCTTCCCCAAGTCACTGGGGTCTGCCACATGTGCAGCAAATGCTGCATTCTTCCCCGACACTAATGCGACAATCGTCGCTTTGTTCTTATCAAACCAATCAGGCCGCTTACAGTTTGCGCGCGTGATGGTCTCTACGGCATCAGCTGTCACTTGGTCGCGAATGTGGTGCCACCGGTCCCTCACCGTGGCTATGCAGTCCACATTACACAGGCGTGCAGCCATCGCCTTCTCCAGCTCAATACGTTTCTCCACTGTACTAAGAGAAAGAATGTTAAATTTACGGTGATTTATGGCGGGAATGCAATACATAGATTTACGAAAATGTACGTACAGTTTGGTCCGCACCAATTTGTGATCAGTGCCACACTCAGGTCCATGCGAATACAACAGGGTAACAAAGCCCCCATGTAATTGAATGTAGCTTGTTTAACAAATACATTGTGGAATGTACGTGCTTGTCGGTAGATCGGCGGCTGAAAGGACCCAACAGCAGCTCAGTTTGGAAGCGGACGCAATAACAACTACACTGAAGTTTCACAAGTTGGTACACACATCCAAGATCATACTGATTGTGTTGTGGACAGGAAACCATGCTCTCGGGTCAGCATGCGTATGTTTAAACCTCAACATTCAGACAAATTCAAAGATAGGATTAGATGGAAAGTCCCCCGGAGATGCGGAACGTTCATGGATAAATAACTTACCACCAACCCTAGATTTACTAGAATATATGTATCAAAAAAAGTGGATCCTTGCAACGCGTTTCAAATTTCGCTGCGCTGCCGCTGCTGCTATTTCTGTGGAGAAGTACCGAACATATCTGAACATCACCTCAATGGAATCACTCACCGATGCCTTCTCAACGCTGAGTTCCTTTGCGCATACCACTGAACGCAGTTCCAGCGCCCGACTTCTCTCCGCCTTTAATTCTTCTTGTAGCTTTTCTATTAGTGTCCTCTGGTTTTCGGATTGTTCTGTGAGAACAGTCTTGAGCTCTCTCAATTCCACCAGCTCGCGCTGCTGCAAGGAACATTGTAACGATAAGTACGGTCACTGAGTATTATCAGCAGGCACTGTGGTGCAGCTTAGATTATCCGGGCGTCTTAAACGTGATAAGAAAGCGACAAGTGAGCGTCAGTGGCTCGTGCACAGTGCAGGCAGTAGTAACATTTTAAGCTAGCATTTTTAACTAACTCCCCAAAGTATGTTACTTAAGGGAAGACTATGATCTGTTGGCTTAAGTTCGATTAATCTGTGTTGTCTGGCACCACAAGATAACTCGAATGTGTGGATGTTTATGACAATGACGGTGGCCTCTCAGTGCATTCCACTACTATCGCTGATAGCCAATAAAATGGCAATACCTTCAGTAGTGTGTAGTAAATCCGTTTAAGGTCCGAGGGAACCAGATAGCTCGCGATTCCACGTATCTCGGAGCATCCTTTCTGGTAGTTTTGGATACTTTGCTTCCGAACAATTTGCGGCTTCAATTTTATTAAACACCCCTGCTACAGTGAAGCTGGTTGATTGAACAGTGAGCAAGTTTCCGATCATGAGAACGGATATGTATTGAACATTGGACCAAAGTTTGAGGGGCTTAGGAGAGACTCAGGCTGATGCAAGGCAACTCGGTTTATGTGTATGTTCGATAACATCCAGGCGTGCTTCCAGCTGAGGTAGACGGTTTGTGGCGATTTGGCACCAAATCGGTAAAGGAAATAAGCTGTTGACTTTGGGGAGCATCACATGTGGACGCAGTAGAGCAAATGGGCCGGAATATGACAGTGCGCTTTGTCACGCTGTCTGTCAGTCGCATAGGAAATGTACTCTACCCGGTCACAAATGTTTGCGTCTCCCTCTTCACCTAGCCCAGTCATTCCACACTCATTCGAAACGGATTAACTTCCCATATGCAGTGGCCACATTTTTACGGAATTATTTTCTACGGAAAGTGAGTTGTGTTACACAAGTTATTTTAACACGCCTCGTGCTCGTAGCAAGACGCAGCACTCCGCTGCTTTTTAACAGTTGTTAACCTTTTAAATTGCGATCGTAAAAGGATTCCCCGCACTACCTGGTGGCCCCAGATTTACTCTTACGGGAGCATTACTGCGGAAGCTGGGACTCAATTTGTAGTTACAGCTGCAGTCGCCCAGCGCCTACAGTTAGTCACTGAAAGCTACCCATTACATGCCAATTTGAGTGACCAAAAAAAGGAACCATTGTTGATCAATATAACAGCCAAACCCCGTGTATGTGTGTCCTTGCTGTAACGTACCCACCTACGATAACCAACACCGAGCTTGCGACTGAGAGCAAGAACATGAGGATCACCCCCCCCCGCTATCCCGCATGACCGGACAACTGCAGCATTCAAATGCAACAATGGTCGTCACTGAACATGATTCCACTTGACGGCAAGTGTGGTGAGCTACAATTGCACGAGACGTCAGTAGAGGCAGAACTTGTTCAGTTTACGGCATTGTGTTTCATCCCGAGTGCGGTTGTGTAAGTCAACTAGTACCTAAGAGACTAATCAATCTGGCAGCTACGCTTTGGTTTTGCCGAACACACTGAGCATTTCCAATGGTCAATTGTATATCAGTGCTCATACAAAATTGTGAAAGACGGACTGGAAGGGTCCAGCTGATGGCGAGCTTCAGATCTTTGATAGGAGAAGCTAACAAGACCCAACTTGTCCTACAGCAAACCCCTCAGAGCAATGTCCCTGAATCGAAGAATAGAGCCAGTCTCACTAACCGCCCAACGGCATCTGCGCCACCTCCTCCGACACTTACTGATCATTTCAGCGGACACGTCACCTTCGGCGTGAATGCTTGGAACTCTTTCTTGGATGCCACACCTAACGAGCCGGACACAACACCGGTAGCACAAAACTAGGCAACATATGCATCGGTCGCTTCGATAGAAAGCCGTAGGCAAACATAGTACGCTCACTATCTGAACCAAGCACGAGTGATGTGAAACAGTTTGCACGACATTCAGTAGCGCCTGCTAAACCATCTAAGTTGCCAGCCACAAGACCCAAACAGACATTCGATAGGCAGCAACACTGTGCCTTAATGATCGGGTACATTAACGTTCTCGGGTCGAAAGTTGGCAAAAATGGACAAGTTGCAAACGAGCATAACTAGTGGCATTCCATCCTCCCTGCGATTGGTATTCGGTTTGGACCCACTATGCTGAGATGCGTATCGCGTCACCTAACCAGTGCACTACTGCGAACCTCGATTTTTTCTAGTAAAATTGTAGTTAACAGAGATAAACTGCCTCACTTTCAGCAGTTGGTCTTCGTAACTCAACAAACGGGGTACATGTGCGATTAGATACTCCCCGGAAAGATCGGCCAGGGCAGACGTTCTACAAACGAAAGCTAGGAAACGAGATTTCTTCATTATTTTTCCTGAACTACCGGACTCTCCTGACCAAGATGCACAAGCCCATGACTGAGAGAATTGGTGCTGCTTCCGCAAAGTACTTTTCTAGAGGAGGAGAATTCCCTCCTCTCTAGACTACAAGGGCCGCGGTCCAAAAAATATTAGACGTGGTTCTACAGTCCGAAGGGATGACAGGAGTCCTACTGCATAGCTGCTTGAAGTATCGCTCTAGTTACCAACCGAGATTACGCTAAAGATAGCAGGCGCACGGCCGCGAGTGGGCAGCACTTCGTTGGAAAACGTAACCCTGGGAAAACCTTTGCCTCCAGTCCCGCAGAGTGATAGACACAATAGCACTCGCAACACCTGACAGGACAGAGAGACGCACGAGAGAACATCGCGGGCTGGAACGCTCTGTGATAGCAAGCAGCCAGTTCCACATTCAAGTACCAAAGACTCACGCAGCAGACCGACGAGCGGTCAGCTTAGTACACACAAATTTGACTTCCACCAACACACTTTTAACGTTTAAAACACTATCCCGTTTATATGCCAACGCCCAAGGCCTTCATAGTAAGTCGACCGAACTTAGAGAACGCCAGACGTCACAACCGCGAGCCCTCATTATGATTACCGAGACGTGGTTAAGCCATGAAATAGCTGATTTCGAGATCAATTTAGCTGGTATGTCGCTGCCTTGGAACGATAGTACTGGAAGAGGTGGTGGTATATTTCTGCACTACAAAGTCAACCTCCGATGTCAACCTATTGATCATCTAGAAATTTATGCCCGAGATTCAATTTGGTGCCGAATATAGTTGCGGAACAAAGATACGTGTCTTATGGTCGTGATTTACCGTCCACCAGACTCTACATCGAAATGGACTCCAAATCCAAATTGAAATTGCTTTTAACTAGTCATAGAGTCACATTCCCATCGCATGCGACCTGGACGTAGCGGCAACTGACAGCATGTTATTCAAAGCCTGTCTGCAAGAGCTTATGTTCAACTACCCTCCATACAACCACGTGATATCTTACAACCGTTTTCGGACTGCCAACAAGCGGTCGATACTTGATCTTGTGACCACCAACGAAGAACTCAGGCTAGACGGATTCGTTAAAAGCACGCCATTAGGTCTCAGTGACCATGTTACCATATTGTCTGGATATGTATGCTAGGCGTACTACCCTGAAGAAGATGATGATAAAATTTTACGGTCACACATTACAACGTGTCATCCGCACTTGTCAAGGAGGCATCTTGGAACTTTCTAACGGAATATCCCCAGAAATCGCCTGGGAAACGTTTACCTGCACATTTAGCACACTGGCAGTACCTACGTCGGAACAGATATACTTCTAGCGTCAAAAGAAAACAAGCCATTTCTGAAAAGCAGTACACGTATATGTATGTGCTTGAGTGACTTAGCATGCAGTGCTCATAAGGACTTACCGAATTCCAACAATTAGGATGCTTAGGTTACACAATGCAACTTCTGTGTGAACTTGATCAGCGAGGACAAAGCGACGCATCAGCAGAAGTCAAAAAAGGATTCCGTACGAACCGCAAATTCTAATACAGGCACTTAACGGTCTTCGTAAAGTGAAACGCGGAATTCCAGCACTGGTCACGACTGACGGATACAAACGATCAGCAACTGAAGCACCCTATCTCTTACAGTTCCATTACTCACATGAGTTCCAGAGAGTAACAAGCCCAGCGAATATTCCTGTTTCTATTGTTTCACCGTCAGTTTTAGCAAATATCACTATTACTGCAGAAGCTATGTTAAAGAAACCGTTATCCCTGTGCATCCACGGTTCACATTGTGTCGATAACATTAAACCGTAGGCTCTACAGACAGCAGACAGTGATCTCACTGAATGTCTGGCTATGTTCTATCGGCATTGTGTAGAGAAGAACCAAATCCCACCGAAATGGAAGTGAGGGATCATCACTCCCATTCATAAGGGAGGTAACCTCACTGACCCTACCAATTACCATCCGATAACGCTGCTTCCTGTGATTGTGAGTTGTGAAGTCAATCGTCTCTGATGCCCCGATGCAGTACCGATATCATCTACCTGTACTTCTCACAAGTCCTTGATTGCTTAGACCACCGAATTCTCCCTCATAAACTGTAGAGTTTTGGTATTGGTGACAAACTTCTGCGTTGGATAGGCAATTTCCTGCGCGAACGTTGGTCAGTGCTGAGATTACGAGAATCCCTATCCGACGCAATTAAGGTGGAGGTCGGTGCTAGAGCCTAGTCTATTCTTGGTTTTCATAAACGACCTAGGGAGGGCACTAACTTCCGATTTGCTATTCTTCGCAGATGATATCAAGATATGACGAGCGATCAGGGAACCGGAGGATCACCAACTTCTCCAGCGTGACCTCAACACGATTTCGAACTGGCCAGTTCAAAATGCCCTACCATTCAACGTAGACAAATGTCGCGTTGTTCAACTACGCCATAGGCTTGGGTCAAAAAATATTGCAAACCCATTCCCAGGAAATCGACCTTTTCATGTGACCTTAACTGTTCAAAACAGGATTAACTTGGTGCGAAAAGAGGCAACCAACACGTCGGCCTGTTGCTTAGGGCATTCGGGAGTTTCGACCCATCCGTCTACCCGATGATGCTTAACTCTGAGATGCGCCCTCACGTTGAATAAGCCATCCAAACTTGGTAATCTTGGTTGAGGCGAGACCTAGAGGTGCTAGAGGCACAAAACAAGGATACAAATAATGTCAATGGTCTACGAAATCTGCCCTACCCGCAATTGCTGAAGTCACTTGGAATTTCCAGCGGACACTAATGAAGGCTGCGAGGCGATCTCATCGTAGTTTGCTTTTAGGGGAGCAATAAAAGTACAGACTTTCGTTTTGAGCTGGTGGCTTATTGATGTCTTTTAACGTGTCATTATGCCACCTCCATTGGCCAATTGGAGTAGTTATTTTTGCCTTCAAATCACAGCACTACTCTGACGCTATTTCACTTTCCGTTCCTTGTGTACACATGATTGACTCCTTATTTACTTAGTCTGTGTTGCTCAGTCTTTATTGCGTTTACTTGTCCGCTCACCTTCCGTATTCTGACTGGCATTCACGATTGTGTGTCATGCTATATAAGGAAGTGGTTTCCCTATTTAAACGAATCCTTGAATCCTTGTCCCTGACCGTTGGTGTTCGCACTACCGAATAACCTCCCCGTGGTGCCAGCTGGGTGGTTCGGGATTTTTCCGTTCCAGCAAATGGTTAGGCGGCAGTGTTCCAGGACGTGGTGGGTTTTCGCCTGGCAAGCGTTCTCCCTATGGAAATCCACATATGTCCGTTTAACAACACTGTGACGTGGCGGACGTGACTCGCCACTAAATAAGGCCACTGCCCCTTGCTTCATCCTGGCGAAGCATTGTATTCCAGCAACGTTATGCTGTTCTGGGGAACATTGGGCCCCAGTTTGACAAAGGAACAAACGAAAGGCGTATGAACTGAGCAATCAGTCACCGGCTCCCAATGGGCGCGATTCCCTGGATTCGTTCCGCTGCCTTGCGGACAGGCTATTCAGCCAAAGGCTCGGGGTGGTGCCCCCTAAGTCAACTCCCTACTTCGGCTTGGGCAACCGGGAAGTATCTCGTCGTCTGACGAAACCATGGACATTGTTGTGTTGTGTTTTCCTTTACTATTTCTGTACCTGCGTTTGAATCCCATGGTTTCTGATGGCACTACGTCTATTCGTAGGCGTTTGCATATATATATATATATATATATATCACCGTTAGTGGTTGGAAGCAGTCGCGGGGTGCCGAGCTAACATTTAACAACTATTGAGTGTTCCTAATCTCGCATACTGTCACATCCTGGAACTCAGTCATATCATTAATCTCAGAGGTAACTGAACCTGAGTGAACAGTATAGCGGCCTAGAACGCTGGCGTTCTTATTTTTCTCTTCGGGTTTGTCAACCCTGAAACTCTCGCCCCAACACAGTTGTTTCCTTCGCCACCCTGGATATTTTCGAAAAAAACAATGACTGCACTTTGCCTTTGGCCCCCCATCATTTCGTTGCCTAAATTGTGCCAATTTCGAGTATATTAAGTATGCCTTCAAGTCGAATGTATAACTCACAAACCTAAGGATGCAGTACATGAGTGAGTATTCTGGTTTTTAATTTTCTCACGGAGTACATCATCCATAAGTGCGGGATTTGTCAAGCAACTGCCTTTTACCCGTGATAAATGTTTATTGATCATGGTTCATTGCGCTGAATGCTGAGTGAAGTATGCCAAGTGAAATCACGCACTGCACTTGCTCCACACAGCAAGATCCATGAAAGTGGGAGGTCAGTAGGCGGCGCTACAACCTTGTTACCCAAATGAATGGACAATTAGAGAGACGAGTTAGGTTTTTGAACGATGAAAGTTCTAGTAGTTATGTCTTAATGACATGCACGGCCTGATCCAGCAGCCCGGTTGGCATCGCGAATGTGAATATTAATGCACAACTTTCTTACTCGATGAGACACCAGAGGGGAGAAACCTGTTATGAGTACCCATGCGGTCGTCTCTTATGGGACTCGGTTATTTTTACATCGAAAGTTGTACTTTATGGAAAGGAAATGACTGATATCTTGTGGCCACTTAGCTGTAACTCATCTCTTCACATCGGAAGTTCGTACACATACAATCCGTTATCTGACTTCTAGAGATACTCTTTGTGAGTCGTTGGCTTCGGTTAGCCTACTTTTTCTAACACATCGGAAGCAGAATTTTCCATTCCGTTCAATCAAATGTGTTGTAGCTAGTGAGTAGAGTGGGTATTATTTTTCCTCCCCAATTTAAACCAATTTCGTAATTAAAAAGTAAGATTCCAGTTCGATTCGTTCGATGATAGGTGAGTGGAAAATGCTTTGTGTTAATAGTGCTGTCTCCTCCTTACAGGGTACGTGCCACGCACACAATTTCAGACGCACTACGTTTTATGCGCTGAGGCTGATTTCGATGGCTAAAACTTGCAACCTTACGGGATGCCAAGGTTAATATGTCCAAACTGCACACCTGTAAGTTGCACATTACTTTCGCCACCGGTTAAAGCAACTCTTATGGCCAGTAGAGGATGTGTCTAAGCACAGTAATTGGTTGTACCCCATTGAAAGGCAAACCACAAGTAGGACGTTATCATGAAGCTATTGATTCATCACTGTACCAACTCACCTCGAACCGACTTCGCGTTGAATCTTCCACATGTCGCGTGGAAGTCACTGCTTCCAACGAGCTGCGGGCATGCATCAACTCGGAATGCAGCTGGCTGACTTTCTGACGTAATGACCTTGCTTCTGCATCCTTCTCGTTGCAATACTTTTTCCAGTGTGCTAACTCCTTTTCCACTCGTTGCACTACCGAGAAGTGAGAGCTCTACCGAAAAGAATAAAACGCCGAGTTGATAAGAAATATCAATTTGCACAGTGAGTGTCTAGCCCTTAACTTTTGGCTATAGCAGCACTCACTGTCCCCACAGTTACAGTACGTTTACCATCAACCGCATCTTCGGACTCGATAACCTAGTTGACTGAACTATAACTACTACTGGAGACTGCTGAATAAACCTTTACTATTGACCAACAAACTGAACCATCAGTCTGGTTATGCAGAGCACGTGAGTGAATAACAACCAGATCAGACTGTCTTCCAGAATACTGACTTGTCCGTTTCAACCGTTAGACTAAACGAAAACTCATTGTCTCGATTAGGTATCGCAGGTTTGTAGAACCCTAGCTGAGATCGCACAGACTGTGTTCACAGTTATGTGATTTTCCTATATTATGCCTGTACATGGAAATAAACAACAGGACGTACCAAAATCGACGACATCTAAACAAGTTGTTAGCGCACCACTCTCAGAATGGCGGTGACACTAAAGTGCGTCAGCTGCAGTAGAGTACGTTCGGCACGTCAATGCTGAGTGGATCTTAAGCGCAGAAATTTAAGTAAACATCTTACCCCGGTAAGTAGGCTGAAAAACAAATAGCTCCACCAGTATAGATGCATTAGGCCTCGTGCTTTTCTGCAGCAACACAAACTTGTGTTATAAACCGAAGTTGTCATTAGTGATATAGTTCAATATGTGCGACTGAACGATCTAGCTAATCTTAGGACGAAATGCAAATGGTCAAGTTGAATTTATGTGATGTATTAGCGACTGCATACGTGAAAGCGATGTGTAGGTGTGATAGGACATGACCCGGCAGACACGTAGGCTGCCTTTAGATAGTCAAATATGTGCATTATTGCCAGCAAGCAAGTAAATCCTTATATTCGAAACTCGAGAAAACATCCATTTAAGCAAACTGTAACGAGTTCGCTACCTGGGTGGGAATCAATGCAGTAACTCACAGGCTGCATCCTCAAGACCTTTCACATATGTTTCACCAGTGGAGATTTCAGAAAGACATCTCTTTATCAACCTTTAACCTGACAGACAGCACAACATTGCTTTAAGCATGCTATTGACTTCCGAAAGCCAGTACAAAATGTGTGCGGGTTTTCCCGGTGGTTTGAGCTTACCAGCAGCTGAATACGCAATTCTTACCAGACACTGCATAACATATTACTATTAAATGAAGCCACATCGTATTAATAACATTAAACGAACAGAGTTGTTTTCATTAATGGCAGTTTTTGTTGTAAGCGCTCACATCCCAGCCTATTGCGAAACAGAAGTAACAGTTTTTTCAAATAGAATCCGAACTCTTGCAATATCGTGCCAAACAGCCCAGGGAGCGCGCACACAAGGGCTTATTTAGGCAAGCATCTGCCATTTGTCCCGTTTCGCTCTGACCGTTTTTCAGGTATCTTCAGTAGCGCAACGCGCTCCCTCGGCCGAAGGTTAATAGATCACACCCACTTGCTCTCACCAGCCAAACCACAAGTGATTATCGTGCGGTCCGAAAACTAGCTTCACTCTCTCGATATGCCAATACCGTGCAAATCGCGGAGCAATACTAAAAAAGAATAGAAAGATTTAAAATCACTAAATGCTTTCTTTGCATGTGTAATTCATCGCAGTGACTGACTTCTTTGTCTAATCCTCGTAAACTCGTCCCCTGTTGTCGCGTGACTGATTCCAATGTGGAAATTCTTTGACTAGCTGCCTCCAACTGCATTCTGTAGCTATTAAGTTTATCTGTCTGCTTAGCCATTTCAACCTTCGTAGAGGTGGCCTCTGCCATGGCTTTGTTACTGGCTTCCTCGGCAGTAGTTCGTAACCATTCGGACTGTTCCAGTTGCTTCGTCAACTGATGCACGTTGTATTCTAATTCCTGGAACTTAAACAAACAGTTGCATTGATTATGATGAGGTAAAGTATGATGAGTGTTACAAAAACCCGACCTTATTCTGTTAATCACGTAAGTCAACGTACTGATCAAGAGCATGAAGTACATGAACGACAATCTGGACTCACTGAAGTGGACACTCAGTTACTCCAAATCAGAGGCTATGTTGACTGCAGTGCAATTAGGTGGCAAACTATAAAGGCATGCCAGGATTCTAAAATTTGTCTAGTCTGGCTTGGCTATCTGAACCCCTACTTCCGAAGAACTATGACACTGTATGCTCACGCATGAGATCATAGTCTGTACACTGATACTACCGAAGGCTGGCCGAATTTTGGCCTTCAGCTCAGCAATCACAGTAACCAAAACTGTGGGAAAGAGGAGTAAGTCTGTTTGCTTTCAGTTATGTCTATCATCCACATGTATTGAAGCTACGCGCGCATTCTATATGACCATTTGTCAAGAACCTTGCGGTCCTCACAGCACCATCGATTTGGTGACCGGCAGAATGATCCTCACCGTTTGTTCTGCTACAATTCGGCCTAGCCCATCCTCTAAACCTTGTGTCGGATGGGAGACTCATAAAGGCGTTCGTCAATTCTCGCCTATGATAATCTAACTTTCTTAGCGGACACACAATTACCCAGTGCACCAGTAGCCCGCACAGTTCCTAGCAAAGCCACTGTTGTAAACTAGCAACAGTAGTCTAGCAGTAACAGCGGAATCCCCAACACCTTACTCTCGGTGTGGATTCCGATAATTCCTTATGTCAACAGCTGGTGTCTATTAAGAGATGTTGATGAAATATGTTTTGTTTCACGTCCTTTTTGTGGACCATTCTAACCCTATTTCGCAAGTACTAGATCAGAAGAATTTCTGCCTGAGTTTCTGACAAAGGTGGCTGCACAACTTCTTTGGCTAGAGATCTCGACACCAGCATGTCCAGGAGTTCGCGTTACGGAGGTTGTATTTGCGTTGCTCCAATTTAAACCAAATATGCTGGCAACTGTTCCAACAGCATGCTTCAAAATTTACTGATTTCAAAAAACCGAAACGATGCTTCCTTGAGTACTGAAGGTTTTACAAGTATGGATCAAGCCCTTCGCACCTTTTTGGTTAACACAGGTCGCTTGGCAAGCAACATAGCTCATTCTCAGCATTTTAAAATAGGTTCACAACTGACTTGGAGCTCATGATTTCAGGTTTTGAATGCCGATTGGAACTGAAAAACAAGTTGTGTACCGATTCAACTTGCCTGAGAAAGCTTTTGCATCAACAGCGGGACGTTGACACAATAAAAAGCCTACAAAAATGGAAGCAGACGGAAATTTGGAGTTGCCCGTCTAGGTTCCATCTGCTTCGGCTACGGTCTCAGTGATCGCAGTGACCAAGGTTCAATCCAGTGTGAATCGCTGTCTATATTGTGATTGCACGTCACAATCCATTTACACAACGTGTGCTTCAAAAGAGACCCTACTACAAAAACCGATTTGTATACAAAACCTGAAATCATACGGACTCCTCACTTTTTAACATGCGTTCTCATATGATGTCCGAAGCTGAAGGGATGCTCACTTCGTGTCGCTTCTCTCCACAAACATCTTGTCCCCTGCGTCTGAAGCTGAGTTTCCTCCAATGTTATTTTCTGTAAATATTCGGTATCAGGCTAATCTTACTTTTTCCTCCAAGTCATGAATACTAGTTGTGGGTCACCATAGTCATCGGACACTAGAGATAAAATGCAGCAAGTTTCTGCGTTCCTACCGTGCAGAGGACATGTTTCGCCAATGGAGGCACAACTTCCCTTGCTAAACCGTCAAGTATCTCATGACGTCATAAGCCAGTCCCGTTGAATCATGTACACTGGAAAGTGGTAAGCAGCAGTGGGAAAGATAAGCGCCACTAACTACTCCCGATTCGAAGGAACGACGGTCCAGTGGATTCCCGGACTTGTATTTGATACTCGACTGAAGTTGGATACAACGAACCATCGTATGGTCCCGAAGGATCTCCCTATTGTTCTCTGGTGAATAGACATTTGTTATTCTCACTTTGTTTACGAAGGTGGACGCGTTCCGCACATTTTAAACAACACGTCATATTCTGGACACAAACTAATTGTCCGAACTTACGCTTAACAAGGAAAAGATAGAACTAGGGGTGTTAAAAAGTTATAAATGAATGTAGCTGGACCTGCTTTTTTTAACTTATCCAGATGTTTGACAAATAATTCTACTTTAGCGTTCACTTAAAAATACTTGTCATTGTTTCAACAGTAGAAACCGAATGTGGAATTGTATGTAATCCCTGTAGCAAGTGTTTCCCTGGCATTCAAGCTGGACCGGGATGCCACCGTGAATATAACCCAACGTCTCACCGAGTGTGCAATAAATGCCTACTTAGTAGTTCTACATGGTGTCACGAAAGAGTAACATACCATCAGCTGAACCTCCTGCAATTCGGAGGTGGTTCTCTTCAGTTGAATCTGCGACTGTATCAATTCCGCTTTGGTTTCTTCCAATTCAGCGCTGATTGCAACCACAGTTTGGCTGGATTCACAATGGCTTTTCCTGAGATTATCCAATGCTTCCTGAGCTGTTTTCAATTCCACTTGCCCCTCTTCAATTTTTGACTGTTTCTGACTCAATCGTAAGTCTAACTGCTTCAGCTCCTCCATTTTTTGTGCGTGTTCTTGCTATTGAAAGGAAAACACGAGGCATTTGTCAGTCACCAGTAAATGGCCGACCCGACTGTCAGCCCTGCAGTCTGACTTACGTCGCCCTACTTGCGACAGTTAGGCGTCTTGTAGCTAGGGCCCTCAACAATGAAACCTATTCTAATGTAGTGGATACGTAGCTATGTCTGACTGATGAGCATGAAGTTATATCGGTACAGAAAGCCTGCCGGAATCTGGTCTCTAATCTGCATGTGAAAGATATTTTATGGTCAATTATGGAAACCTATTTCGCAGTGGATGTAATTGGCAAAATCCAGGTCCTTCCCAAAGGGATCTGTTTAACCACCCCCTTCATGATATAGCCGATTCGCGCTCCACCTACAACGTTTCCCATCCAATCACTAGCGTTTTGAGGTGACTACGATGCTTACAGCGTCCAGAGCCAATGACTGGCTTAGGTTGGCATCATCGATTACAAGGTGAGATTCTACTCAAATACTACAAAAATGACTTTTAGCTAGCACCCACTTGGGATGTTTAATTCGGATTGTATTTTTAGAACGATTTCTTAAACACAGATTTTAGGTCTCCTCCGTACATTTTTCATACTTCTTTTGAAACATCTACTGTTGTGGTGCTCATTGATCAGACTAAAACACTGTTACTATGCTCAGCTCAGCGTTTAGAGCAGTCAGTCTAGGCACTGCACCATTGCAAGATTCCAATCCCAAGGCAAAAACAATAGTCTCATTGCGCGACTTCAGTTGCTTCAGAAACTAATATGTCTTATCCAGTTGCATGATCCCAAAATTGCCATCTACTTGGCGCCAGCAACTTTTCTGTCATCTACTAGATTTTGCCAGTAAATTTTGAACAAATTATTCAGCACTGATGATATCATGGTAAGACCCCGTTCATGCGTGGTTAGCACCGATTGAAGCGTGCACTAAAACAAACTATGGCACAGTGTCTTTTTCTCGATTGTTTCATCCACGAAAAGGATGTACCTCTCCCCACGTTACGCTCCAGTCAAACGCCATCTCCAGAGCGTCGCCCTTTCGCACCTTGGTGAAGAACGCGCAAATCGTTGAAATCAACCATCATCGTCCGACTCGTTCCGCGCGAACTCACGGAAATTTTTTCGAACGTTGTCATTCGGCTGTAATAGACTAGAAGTTGCATACAAACAGTTAAGTATAAAATGTCGCTACGCGCTAAACTTTTCACAGTTGACGCGGTGCTCTGAAAATGGCAGTGAGACACCACGCCTTGCAGTGCACATGCCGATGGTTACCCCGTCATTCCAGCCGATGATGTCCTACGTTCAACAGCAGTTAACAAGTAATTTGATCACATGTACCGCCATCTAACGCCTGATGCGCCGCTAGCATCTTCTAATGATAGCACGCGAGTAAACATTACCTATATGGAATAGTTTATAGACGGGAAATTGCCTGTAAGTGCCTTTTCTTAGCAAACGCACTGGTATCCATGAGACAACTATATGAAATACTCCCCATGAGCGAACTCAACCGAACGAGAGCGCACTAAGGGCAGTAGGCAGGTGCAACCTCGAGCGCGCAGTCACACAAGTTAAGAGCTAGAATGCCGTACGCTTTCACCACCCGTCTGGCGGGATTAGCCCAAACAACATGCAATACAGCTCTCTAAGACGGCTTGTGAGCGAAAGTCATATCATTCTCCCCACTGGCTAGGTCATTTGGACCCAGTCATTTGGAATCCTAGTGACAGGTGGATAGCTATTCACCATTTGACTCAGTGATAGTGCGCGCGGCCACTGCGCATATAAGATCTCGAATGGTTAGTCGCATCCGGTTCCGGTTTCGCCTGTCACTGCGGCCTTCATAGGACAGCCACAGGATGCCTCTACCTACAGAGGGCCCATGGGTGGCTTGGGCTGCACCACCCAAAGCTCCATCCATACCCCATATCCAGTGTAAACCCGAAGAAATAAGACCAGGAGGTATGCCGATGGGAACCATCTTTCATCAACAGAGCCGGCCCACAGTCCTTCAACATGCACAGCAGCAGCATTTCTGTCTATCTAGGTTGGGAATCATAGGTACCAGACGTACCCGAGACGGTAGCTGGGCCGTAGTCCGCTCCACACTGGATGCAAGCACTCTTTGAGCCTAGTACGGCCACGAGGACCGTGCACCCAGCCCTACCAAGCAACAACCAACTGTCTCCTGGAGCCTGTGTAGACGAGGTAGTAGGTAATAGAGAGGTAGGCACTTGGTCAACATGCACATCAAGCGCAGCCACACCGGGGATATCAAACAACCAACAAAGAATTTAGGAGAAAGCAAACACGCAAAATTGACACCGAATATGCAGCAGAATAACAGAATTGAACAAATCAAATAAGTTGGAATGAGTGTAAGTTGGTTTAGCCCAACTACGATAAAGAAACATCATGAAAGCAACATCAAACTCAGCATGAGCCACCACATGGATTGGCGGCATCGGTGTCCGGATTTCCCTGTCACTGCGGCCTCCATAGGAAAGCCACCGGAAGCCTGCTCCTACAGGGAGACCATGGGTGGCTTACACTGCACCACCAACAGTTCCACTCACACACCCCATATCCGGTGTAGACCCGAAGGAAGAAGACCGGGAAGCATGGCGATGTGAGCCACATGTCATCAACGGAGCCGACCCACACTCCTTCATAGGCAAACATAAGCGCGCTCTGTTTGGGGAATCAAATGCACGCAAGGCGGTGGTTAGGCCGTAGCCCACCACACACACAAACCCTATGCATAAAACCACTCTTTGGGCCCAACATGGTTACGAGGACCGTGCTCCCCGTCCCCTCCAGCAACGAGCAACTCTCTCCAGGAGCCAATATAGACGAGGTATTGGGGGATATACAGGTAGGCGCCTTGTCAACATGCACATCAAGCGCAACCACACTGGGGATGCCAAGCAACGGCCAATCACTTGGAACGAGGATAGCAAATAAAATAAATCGGATATGACATACGGATATGCCGACTTAACTCTTCGCTTAAATAGCATATGAAATAAATTCCTTATCAGCATATTCGCGATAAACTAAGACTGGCAGAAAAAGAGACCTAATGTGAGTGAATTGACGAAATTACCCACCTTTCGTTCAAGCGACGTGTGTATGCAAATAGAGGAGTATTCAGATAGACAACAAAATGTGGTAACAAATAAGTACTAACAAGACAGACAAGTACGTACCAGTAAAGATACAACACACACACGATTAAATGTAGACACTGCTAAGCACAGTCCATATCACATTTGATATTCGTGCCTGCTAGCTTGTGTGGCGCCAGCCTCAGAGTAGTCCATCTTTGCTGCCTGAGTGTCGAACATGGTTAGATAAACCCACACCACAAAGTGCGATGGGTCTGCGTAGCACCTCACGATGCCACAGGTCGGTCTGAGTTCAATATGCTTTTAGCATCCCATTCCGTTTACACGTCTGATATGCTATTCGCTGATTTTGAATTGGCCGCTCAACAAACAGTACGTATTTAAGGACGTTCGCGCATGTGGTGGCACAGAAAAACCGTTTGGTGTCTGGGTGGAAGCCAGACCCTTCCTGACTACGGAAGTTTAACTATCGCCAACAGATACTTGAATAGTATTCTCTTTTTGCGTGACCAAGACGTTTATCGTAGTTAGAAATTTCCACGGTGGAAGATTGTCGCGAATCCGAACATCGGATTCCATACCTTTACATATCAGCATGCCCTAAAACACACACAATTAAAGCCCTAAGCAGCAATCGTTGAAGCGATTAGTGTAGATTGATAGAGATAATTCTGCAGGGATTAACCGGTAGCCACTTCAACTTCAATCATTTATTGGTCCGGTTGGTTCTGAGCTTAACTGTCCAGAGGATGAAAGTGACTAAGATCTAAGGTATGAGTGTAGCTTTAATCTGGTGAACGCTGAACGATTTGGAAGAGTATGCATGCTACCTAGTCACCCCATGAAGATATGTCGGCATTGCTCGTGTGCATCAATTCCTGAAGCCGCCTAAACAGTCAATTGTCCGTTTCACGAAATGCAGTTCTTATTGAGACATGCGGATTTTGCTAGCTCCTATCAGTCCCGCATTTATGGCCTAATCAAGGTTTATAATTAGCTTTAGTATTGTGAAAGATGGCAAGAAGGACGCGTAGGGCGCAGGGTTCGAGTACAACGCAATCATATCTTCCTGCGCTTCAAAGTCCAGATGTACTTCAGTGATGCGCTGGCCAACATTGGTCTAAAGATCTCTCAGCAGCTGCCATTTCATGATTAATCCACATTGCAAACCGACAAACTGGATCAGCTAAACTCTCTCTAACTAGGTATCATCAGTAGAATGGCTAACGAGAAACAGCCGAGTTGTTGAAGACACTATATGTGTTTATATAGACGCTTTGTTATAGTGCATTGGAGTTTGGACCGCGTTGCAATTTGAAGTCAACCTCGATCATTCGATCGGAAGGAACGCGCCAAAAGTAGAAGTATTTCACAATGCTTGTCTGTCGTAATCTGCCTCACCGCCTCTTTCGTCCTTTCAGACTCCTCTTGTGCAGAATTTTCCTCTGCTGCACAAGCTGTCTATTGGTGAAGCGCAGTTGCCTTCGTTCAACTCATCAGTGAAGTCACTGTCTGGAATAAACTGACGATCCGAATCGATAGGCCCTATGGTTCAAGCGACATCACTTATGTTAGTTGATGTCGAGAGAGCCAGCCACAAATGGGTGCCAAAAGCAGTGTACGGTTTGTCTGTTGTTACAAATAAGAGCGATATACCATAAACACATGCGCACCGATGTGTTGTAGCTGTTGCACGTGTCCACTAAAACGGTCGCAACCGCCCATTGTGATGTGCAGTGATTTACAGCTACGTAAAACTTGCGCTGTCTAGATGGCTATGCACTCTTGGCTCACCTACCAAAACATAAACACTACGGTACGCGCGTTGCTAGAATCATTTTCATGGTAGAATTAACACTTTGACAAGT